GGGCTATCTGCTTAAGGGAGTGATGCCTTCGTGGAGGACTTTCTAAGAGGAACTGGCTCGTACACACGTCACATAAGTGGAAAACCACGAAAACACCCATGCAGCCAGCCCGTTCACGAGATTCTAACCTTGCACCGAACTACCAGTGTTCAGCGACTTTAACACTCGGTCGCATGTGGGCCCCCAGTTTTAAAGGAGAACACCAGCAGGATACGGGTCTGAGGATTTCCACCCATCTTGCTTTATTGCTACATCTCGAGAGGACTCTCTGGCTGGATAGCATTTTAAGTACTCCCATGTCGCAAAGACCTTACACACATATAAGCATCTATACCTTATCCGTTATTCAAATGAAGTGAAAGAGTTATGCTGCCTGGCTTCTTCTATTACCATGTTAATAGGATGGTCTATTAATATTTACAAGCGGGGTCAAATTAATAATTGTCGTCTTTCCTTAACCATCCTAGAGTTCCATACCCAGCGAACAATATATGTAAACAACGAAATAATACATATAAACATAAGAATTAAATAGTAGATACACTCAGTGATTTGAGACTGTCATTAATGGAAAAAAGAGAAATAAATTAAATAGGATCGTTTACGAGACATCACACGGATAGACAACCAAGTGTTGGATAGAATGAATTTCTTACAAATACAGAACGATTTCTAAGCTATATGAAGTCACATTAACCAAAAAAATGAAACTACGTTAGGTTATGAAGTTATTTAGAACTACGATATATGTATAATTTTTCCGACTACTTCATCAATTCACTTCAAGTGATAGGAGTTTTAAAATTAAGGGTCTGGAATTAAATTCATAAAATCGAATTAGATCATCAATATCGTGCCCATGTTCAATCAGAATTTCTATAAGTTAATGCAAATGTTGTATGAAAGCTTTATGATTCATACTGAATAAACACTGAGCTAGCGTTTAAGCAAACTTCCTTACAGTGAGATATTGTACACTGATAGGTGTCAAATAAAATAGGCGGTTAGTGATTACGTCAAAGCATGTATCTGCTTAAAGGCAGAAATGCCTTCGTGGAGGACTTTCTGAGGTAAATTAGCTCGTATTCATTTTACACATAAGGAAAAACCACAAAAACATTTTTGCACCCAAACCGTTCACCAATATTCGAGAACGAATAGAGTTACCAGTGTTCAGAATTATCCACTTAACCTTTGGTGGGCATCAAAATGGTCATTAGATATTTAAATTTTTGTCAGCAGAAGTTAGGGTTTTGTTTATCCAAAAAGTTAAATATTTTAGAAATATGTAAAGATATTCTCCATGACTTTTCATTCTTCGCAAGAAAGGAAATAATAAAGCTTTTATCTTATTAGCCAATAAACAAGCATTCAAACAGATAAATGAATTGAAAGCAATTTAATAATAAACAACAAAATGTATTGTAAGCACATCAAAGCCCAATTATGCTTCGGGTAATTTATATATTTCAACGATATAGTATATCATCCTCTTTTCCAACGGTTGGGTTTTACTTATGCAGCATTAGTGCCATCAGTGGTCGAGTGGTTAAAAAAAATTGAAGACTGAGAGTTTATATTTTATTATTATTTACTTGTTCCGCCCTCAGGCACAACACGGAAGAGAGGGATGCCTTCGTGGAGGACTTTCTAAGGGAACTGGCTCGTATTAACATGTTACACTTGGGAAAAATCACAAAAACGCCCTCGCAGCTTGCTCGTTCGCGTGATTCGAACCTCGGACCGAACTACCAGGGTTCAGGGACTTCGTAGCTCGGCCGCTGGTGGGCCAAGGCTGGGAGTTTGACCTGGTTTCGATCCCAGGAGGATGAGATAGCTGCATGGTTAGTTTTTGTGGATTGCGTTATATGTAACGTGAATACAAGCCAGTTTCTCTTAGAAAGTCCTCCCCGATGATATCCCTTCCCTTAGGCAGATAGCTCTCGTGTGCTTTGCTGTATTCAAATAACCTAACCTATGCAACATTCTCTGAGAACTGAACTATGCAACATTCTCTGAGAACTTGTTCTTACTGCCTGAACAAGACCTAAAATGATGACCTGCGGAATGGTCTCACGGAGACAAAAAAACAAACCCGGCATTTTCATGACATAAAATTGGGTGTTATGTGTAATATGACAGGGATAAATGAAAATAAAAAATGACTATGCTGTAGAAGTAAAAATACCAGGCAGAAGAAAACTTAAACAAATATACCCAATGGAAATAAACGTAATGCACGAAAACAGGCAGAGCATTATGGGTAAAAATAACTTTACAATTTTATGTCAAATTATGAATCTTTTAAATAAAATTCAAGCATAAAATATAAAGCAACATATATAATTATTGCGCTATAGTACTCACACTCGTGTAACTTATTAGATGAATATCAAACACAAACTATGGGTTATATAAGTTCTACAGTCGTGCTCAAAAAATAAGGTACAAACGCTAAAAGAAAAGGTACGAATATTAAAACTAAAACATACAATTTAGATACGAGGTAGAGTTGCTTGGCTAAATGCAAATATGCAACCAAAATTAGCACAAAACGCTGCCCCACCGGACCTATGTGTCACTTCGCAAACAGAGATAGTTCCGTATAATCCGAGATAGCCAAAGAGGAAAGTATGAGCCGAGGACACCATTCCCACGATGGAATGCGTTGGAAGACTTTCAGGATGTTACAAGCTGGTGCAAGATAATCCGCTGTTGCAAGAGAGCTGAATATGCATTATAGTGTCATCAACAGATTTTAGAATCATTACGAAAGAGATCAAAACCCCTGTAGAAGACGTGGGTCTAGGCGCCAGAGAATTACTACAACGGCAGACGATCACTTTCTGTTGCTATCTGCAAGATGCCGGAGATCACTGACAGCACAACAGCTGGCGTCGCATGTCTCTGCTGCTGCAGAATGGCCCATATTCTGCCAAACTGTGTCGCGTCGACTGCATGAATGTGGACTGTATGCCCGATGATCTATGGTTTGTGTTCCTTTGTCCCCACGCATGTCAGAGCTCGGTTGAATTTGGCCAATGAACAACGCATTTGAACACCAGAGCAAAGGGACCACGTACTGTTCACGGTTGAGTCTCGATTAAACATCCAGAATGATTCCCGAAGGGCAATGATATGGCAAGAACCAGGGACGCGCTATCGGGCGCCAAACATCGTCGAAAGAGACTATTACAGAGAGAAGGCTTACTTGTATGGGCTGGGATAGCAACGAACGACGCCACCGACCTCTACGTGATTCTTGGTGGTTACGTGACAGCCATCCGATATGGCGAAGGAATTCTACATCCTCTTGTGCCTCCTTTTATGGCTGAAGGGGGCCCCGACGTGATATTTATGAACGATAACGCCCGCCCGCATAGATCATAAGTGACGCAGAGTTATCTGGAGAGTGAAACCATTCTACAGCTGTCATGGCCTGCTAGATCACCAGACCTGAATTCCGTACAGCGAATGTGGAATATGTTGGGACGACGGATAGCAGGTCGCAGTATGCCGTCAGGCAATCTCTACGCGCTCCGACATGCATTGCTACAGTAATTAGTGCTATTTCCCCAACAAACGACCGAGGACATTACTGCCATCTTACCTCACCGTTATCAAGCATGCATTTCAGCTAGAGGGTGTTACACCCGTTATTAGTATGATGTTTTCATTGCACATTCTTCCGAACCATTGGGTCTTTCGCGATGCTATAGATACATGCCCTTCATGTATTTGCTTTGTTTGCTATGTTGTCTAGTAATGCCACACCAACTTCTTGGATCAATTTTATGCATATCCATTAAATAGTTTTTGTTTTATTTCGTGTTTTGACTCTGCTGCTTATTTTTTAATTTTTTCTTAATTATTTTTTAATTTGTTTTGAATTTCTTCTTGTATACTATGAAGTAAATAAAATAAATACAAAAAATTTTAATAAAAGTGTGGATTTTTCCATTCCCTGAAAATTATCTTATAAAAAATAGTTAATCTGAAAACTACAATCTGTATTACCTATAGTACATGGGGTATAGTATACCTATAGTACTGTATTACTATAGATACATGGGGACGCGAACAACTGTTATCTCAGGAAGATGCGATTGCGTAAAATTAAGAATCACTAAACTAAACTTACTTTTCGTTTTACAGTCGCTTCACTAAGGCATTTTCCAGGTTACACCACGGGCTGAAAACGGCAATGCAATTTGTATGGGAAGAAATCAGATCTCAGAATCTCCCCAAGTCTTTCGCGAGATTCAAACCAATGCCCACATTAAAATTTCGACAATAAGCCTCATTGAATTATCATATCAAGGAAGTACCAGTATTATGCAAACTTACACAACGTGTCCACAAAAGTCTTTACCCGGCCTAAACTTTTGCAACCGTTGGTCGTAGATATATACTCCCAGTTACAAAAATATTTTAAATGACTCATGATTCATAACTCATGATTCATGCAAAGATTCATGTTTCGGCATTTTTAAATTTTAAATCATCAATTTTGTGAATATTATGAAAGCTTTGTACTCATTATTAAAAAAAAGAGGTTTGACTCCCGTATGACAAAAATTGACCGAGATATTCATTTTCAACGGTTTTTAACACCCTATTCAATTTGCATTCAGGAGTCAGTTAGTACATATAGTAGAATAAATCGCTATGATTTTTTTCCCTCAATAACGCTGTTCTGTGATTTACTAGCGTCTTTAATTTATCTTTTATCTACATTTGGTAAACTGAACGAATTTTCAGACAATTTATAAGTTTTCAAAGTCTAAAAATGCATTATTAATATTCTCATGAAATTTTATTACTTTAGAATCATAATCTGGTAATCATACAAAACATTCATTAACGTACAAATATTTTTCATTTTTAATTAATGCAAATAATATTACGAGTGAGCTGCGTTTCCATTGAAGCCTGCTAGTGTTTTCTACAATACGAGTTCTATAAGATTCTTTGAATAAGATCTCCATTTCGGGAAAAAATGTATTGATCAGTAGTTTTCACAGTAATTTGAATAGAAATGCTTGTTACGTTATCTCTTAACATTAATCTCATTAAGTAATAAATATTAAACTTCTCTGTTCAACTACATTTTTATTTTGCACTTGGCTGTGAAACTCATTGTAGAGTAAAACATTGCCGCCAAACAAGTTCGAAACGCGTCGTTTGCGAAGTTGGTTATTGCAACTGCTTCTGCTAAACTGATTATTGTTTGTCTCTGTAGTTGTGATCTTTAACAAGACTTCCTTGGTATTGTTGTTGTGTTCTTTAGTTATAGTTGCAAACGCTGTTTTTGTGATACGGATATTGCAAGGTATTCCAGTCTAGTTTTAATACATAGCAGCATTTTATTAACAATGTTTTATTCCTACATTTAAGCAGTGTTCATGTATTTTACTCACCAGTTATGGCCAAATGTTCACTAAATGCGACTAGATACGAAAAGGAAAAACTTATTGGATCTGGGACATACGGTAATGTGTGGCTGGTGCGCTCAAAACATAGTAGAATATCTCATGTCTTAAAAGAAATTAATTTAAAGTCACTGGATGCTTGTGAACAGCAGCAAGCTTTGACTGAAGTAGCAATTTTGTCAAAATGTCAGCACAGAAATATAATAAGGTATAAAGAAGCTATGATTGAACATGATAGAGGAATATTATCCATCATCATGGAATACGCTGACGGGGGTAAGTTATAAAAATTTAAATATTTTTAACAGCTGTCTCTTGTTGTGAATTTCGAGTATTTAAGACCCGAAGTGATATGTATAGGTCTATAACCGCTTTGAAAACTCATACGATTGTTATCCTTGTAAGACTAAAATTCGTATCTTTAGCAAATTTATAACAAATGGAGAAATGTGTCTTAACTGCAATCAACTGATATACGAAGATAGTACTATGTTTCTACAACGGTGAAATTTGCAGAGTATCGAAAGTAGGATTCAGTTAAGTGGGAAACTAAATGTTAGTCACAGTAGTCGAAAGCCGGATAAATGCATTTTTATTCACTAAAGCATTCTTAAGTATTCACACAGTTCATGCGTTTCACATAAATATAGGATGTGATAATTGTTGCTATCACAAGTATTTAAAAAAGCCCTTTCCCGTAAACTTTATAAATGCTTCCTTTATGGTAATCTCGGTAGTGCATTTATCTCAGATTTAGCAGTTCCTGTGAATATGAAGATAATTGCATAAAATTCATGTAATTCTTAGCAGTATTAGTATATAAACTTTGTCTTGGATATCTTACATTTATAATGACAACGTTAACGTAAATATGTCCCACATTCTCGCAATGCCATTAAATGTCAAGATCAGTCTTAATTCATAGTATTGCCGTACGATAAAGCTAGAGCCGTGTTACGCATATGATATGAATATGTATTATGAAACTTTACAAAGAAATTCCTAATTTTCTTTTAGTGCAATGAAAGTTTATTACTTCCCTTTAAAGCAAATTATTATCTGAAAATTCGATAATCTCCGCGATTCTAGATTTATAATTTTTGATGTGGTCTCATATTTAGTCTAATACCATAACTTTTTTAGTTAAAAGTCAAAACGTTTGTTCAAAGATGCGAAATAACCCTGATCATTACGTTCTCTATACATCAATGGAAGAGTCAGCGCGTAGTAAATGTAATGAATGAGTCATAAAACATTGAATTGCATCCGAGACTTAACTCATCTAAGCACAAAGTATATGTACGAAAGAACATGCAAATGTAATGAATGAGTCAGAAAACATTGAATTGCATTCGATATGTAACTCATCTAAACACAAAGTATATGTACGAAAGAGTATGTAAATGAAAATTGTCGAAATTACATATGCTTTTCCTTATTTGGCGGCGGAAGGGGTTATGTATTAAAAAAAAAAGGTTGCTTTCCTAGGTTTTAATTTTTGGTTCATTTGATTATGGCAACGCACTCGAGTCTTATCTGTCTAAAGGGAGAGATGCCTTCGGGGAGGACAAAAAAAAGACAGGCTTGTATACAAGTGACACATGGGAGAACACAATGAAAACGCCCATGCAGTCAGCCCGTTGGCGGAATTCGAACCTCGGACCGAACTACCCATGTTCAGCTACTTTACCGTTCGGCCGATGTTGGGCCTTTTAATTAACTTTAAAAATATGCATTATGTGGTTCAGAAATAAGTTTTCCAATGCCACCTAGGGGGCATTGGAAAACTTATTTCTGAACTTATTTCTATTATTATCACCTATGGGGGGGATATGCCTACATGGAGGATTATAAGGAAACTGGCTCGTATCAACGTGTCCCACGGGGGAAACCACGATAGCTCCCATGCAGCCACCCATTCCCCAGGATTCGTGCCCGGGTAGAATAACCCATATTCAGCGATTTTACCTGTCGGTCGCTGGTGGACCATTCAGTGTTTAAAGTGAGAGTATTTAATACATTCATGCCAAAGTTGATATCCTAAGAAGAATCTCAATGAAATCTTTTATTTTCTTACTTGGCAGTACTTAGTGTAAGCACCCATAAATTTCTTTTTAAAATATATAGTTTTGCAAGTCGCAAACATTTATCTGCTTCACAGCAGGATTGAAGTGTAGCACTACTTCAAGTTAATATTACTCAACAGTTATTCGTAAAAGTGTTCTGGAATATGTTGTATATTTTTCCTTTGGTTATTCTTTATGATTATTTTAGTTTTACACTTAATAAATATATAAAACGAGAAATTAATTAATCGAAGAATTATATCTGGTAGGTGATCTGTATACTGCAATTACGAGACAGAAAGGTGTTCCCTTCAAAGAACCCGTAAGTAGCTTTCTTTTTTTAAGACATACGTGTGTACATGATAGTCACATAAATCTCATTTGCATTTTTCTTTTAAGCATGTGCATCTTTCCTTTTAGTGCATTCTTTTGTGGTTCATTCAAATAAGTTTGGCATTGCAGTACATCCATTATCAAAACATTTTACACAGAGGTAAGATGTTTTTAAAATGATTATTTCGATTCTGAAAATTGTTTTCATTAAATGAGGATGTAATCCTAGGTGCTTTCATTTACTGTGGATTCAGATAATTTATTTTAATGAAAGATTCTAAGGAAATGTTTTCAAGAAGGAAAACGTTACCTTAACTCTGGTGATTAATTCTACTTTAACCCGGGAGCGCGCGCGCTCTTTTGAGTTACATGAGCGCGCGGCCTGGGTTCAAAAGACCCGGGTCGTGTTTTTTTGAAGAAAAAACTGTTACTCTTCAGGTAAAACTGCTACATTTAAGCCAAAATTTTATTATCAAACTTAAAAAATATGCAAACTATAAAAATTAAAATTTTAATTTCCATTTTTTTATGAAATAAAATATTTTTAAAGGAATAGAACCGAAAAACTTATTATATTAATATAGAATTTATTAGGATTCATTATATTATTATTCAGGTTTATCAGGAATATACTGCCTGAAAAACATCTTCCTCTGGAAGCTTCAAATTTTTCATCAATTGTTATGAATTCACCGACAGTTTAATATTTATGGCAGTTATTCACAAAATCTTCAAAAAATCTCTTACAGGTAAAAGTTTATCTGATTCTTTCTTGACGACGCGAGTTCCTATGTCATCAAAATGCAAACTTCTTGATAAAAAAAGAACACTTTTGTAGGACATAGTTTTGTCGACAAATTTCCAAGCCGGTTCCGTCTGTTGCCCTCGGATCCCGCACAGTTACATGAGATGACTTATGTCAGAAAAATAAAGCATAAATTCAATGGAGTCTTCAACAGTTGATACATCTAATAATTTTCACAAATATAACATTTCTTCCTTATAGGATAAATTACGCGACATGTTTGCAGTTTTCTGTGCTACCACAAATAAACTACGCTACAGCAATGCGAATAGGCGCGGTGAGTCTGAAACACCGATCCGATTAAAACGAAAACGAAACTTCGAATCAAATTGCCGGCAAAAAACTTCGGAAACATAAAGAGAATGGCTTTTGAGGAGACTATACTGAACCACAACCACTTGGAGAAAATAGGTACTTTTTCAGAAAGGTTTCTTTAGTTAGGTGGGTCCATTGGACCCAGCGCGCACACTCATGTGTTAAGATAAAATTAACGATTTTTCAACCAGAATTTTGCAGTTTCGTAAATTGATATTCCAGAATAAAGGTTTCTTTCTCTGACCTTTAATCAAACATTTGGTCGAATATGGCTTAAATAACAAAAATGGACAACTGTATTAAAACTAAAGATCAGAAATTTTTCTTAGTGAAAAATAAATGAAATAAAAGTTTTTTTCTTCTAGATTTAAAAACGCAGAATATTTTCCTAACACGGAATAAGATTATTAAAGTTGGAGATTTTGGAATTGCTCGCTTTCTGCATGAACCGCAAGAACTGGCAACAACTGCAATTGGCACCCCATATTATTTATCACCAGAAATTTGTCAGAGAAGACCGTATCCTTTCCAAATTTTTTATGACCAATAGGTACTTTTCAGTTTTGCCGGCGCAAGCGATAAAGTCGCCAATAATGGTACACCGATGACAAACGGAATATTCTCGCTGGTAACCTTTTACGCCTCATTTTCAAAACAAGTCGCAGTTTTTTTTCTTATCAGATTGATTGTTTCTTTCAATACTGGCATATAATTACATAGAATTTTTATCAGATAGTTCAGTTTTATGTCTAAGGCCATTTTCGGTAATTAAGTCAATTAGGATGCAATCACAGCTCTTACCCGAAGCCGAAAATATAGAAAAGGAAAGTCAAGGGTTAAATTCATCAATTCTAATGAGAATGCATTAGTGAAGTAAAGTACTGCAGTTTTACATAATTGCTGAGTAAGCTATTCGTACGCATTGAAATATTTCTTGCATTTAAACTTGTGTTCCAAATTAAGATTTAACTTGAAATTAATGTAGATAATTACTGAAAGCATTAGATTTTTGTAGAGTAGTTTACGTGAGATGAGATCGCTTGGAGTCACGTTATATGAACCGGCGAATTAGGATGTTGATATTAAAATGTTTATGCCTTCAAAAAAAGAATTCTTAGAACTAAAATTTTTTTAATATTTTTTATGTGTATACTGTATGTTGTCGCCAATAAAAGTCTGCTTGGCGAGATTTGCGCCGGCGAAACGGAAAAGTACCCATCAGGGGGTAATAATAAAATTTTATGTTGTGAATTATTTTAATTATGCTATCTGAACGAATTCAAATCTCCCATTAAAAGTTTTTACAATTTAGATTTACTGATATTTTAGCAGTGTTTTCGTTTCGATATTTTTAGTTTTGCTAACCTACAAGATACTTTAAACTGTTGAAATATGGAGAAGCAGTCATTTCACCTAAAGTTTTAGTGTCGCGCATGGATTTTTTTTTTTTTTTTTTTTTTTATGTAATCATAAAGAGCTGTATAAATTTATTACAAAATAAGTAATTTAAGCGTATGAAAATGTACTTGATCTACATTTGTTGTCATATTTGGTAATGTTTTAGTTAATTTGATAGCAAAGCCAATTCGAATTAACGAATCGGTATTCCATTAACTTGCACACTGCATTCACTCTTTTTTACACGCAAGCAAAATTTCGAATTTTTTTTTTTTTTTTAATTTTCACATTTCAAAAGCTTTGCCGGTATTTGATTATAAATACTGGCAGTCTTATCGTTACTAACCAAAGAAATTTATATGTTAAGTGATCTCTGGGTATATTTATGTCAGCTACATTTTTCTGAAACTGGAATCACTTGGTAAAGAATACATAATACTTAAGCATCAAATTTTGGAATGCAAATTCTAAAAATTGATATGGGGGATTCCAGCCTAATGATAAATGTTAGATAGCAGTCTATGCACTTGGATTTTTGTAAGCGTAGTTTAATATTTCTCCCCAACACAACACTTTTGTTGTATACTAAGATACCCTCCAGAATTCCAGCATGTTTTTGTCAAGGTAAGTAGAAAGAACATACGTAAACGAAATTACATATATTCTTTTTCAAGTTCAAAACTATCTCCTTGACAGTAGCGAACCTTCTCTGTTTGCTTAGACTTATGAGTGAAGCCTGCATGCTGATTGGTTTGGGTCAAGAAGAACAAACCTTGTAGTATAGTAACCTTGATGTTTTGTAGCAAATTCTAAATTCTATTGACAATCATAGCATCAAATTTGCACTATAGTTTGGTAAAGATTACTAAATATTTAAGCATCTTTTTGCAGATTATATTACATGGTTGTGAAAGTTCCTTAACAGATATTAGTTACAATTACAAAAGTGACATATGGGCATTAGGATGTGTGTTGTTTGAAATGTCAACGTTAGGACATCCTTTCAAAGCACGGAACTTCTCCCACCTGGTGTCTCTGATACTCAGCGGTAAACGGAGAGACTTTCCTAGGTATAAATGTATACTATATTTTTATAATTTAGATCTAAAAGTTTATAGAATAATGTTAGGTTTACCTAAAACTGATAGATTTTACATCATTCAGGTATATCTTCCCTTACGTTTATGTTGTAAATATTTTAGGCACTGCAGCAGATTGATTCAGGATCTGGTAAATTCAATGCTGCACTCTGACCCTGAAAAGCGACCTTCAAACTACTGAGATTCTTGCAACACCTGCTTTGCAACCATATTTGTCCCAGTATCTGGATTCGCTTAATTTCAAAGGGCATGAAACGCTATCAAGATCATCGGTTTCAAAGGCAAGAGATTTATAAAATTATAATTCTTTATCGCGCTGTATGCCATCCAATGACTGTGGGATGAAAATGAAAAATTTGAGTGGAATTATGAAAGACGCAATGCCATTTTTCTTCTTTATCTTCATAAATGCAATGAGTATATACGTGGTTTTCTCTATGAGTAATGTAAATACGAGCCATGTTTCCCTTAAAACATCATTCATAATGACATCCTTTTCCTTAGGTCTTGCGCCTTTTGGAATTCAATTAAAGAATCAGTAGTCCATGGAACATGATTAATGTAGGCTTAACTATTAAATATTTGTGCTAAATAGAATCAAACTCTTCAAAGCAGCATTTTTAAACTAGTGCTAATCAAAGGAAAATTCTTGCTTATTACCAAAAACATAAAGGTACCCAAAATAACCACAAGAATAAAGTGTCACCCTAGTTTCACCATATTTCCATTATAGAAAATTAAGTCGTATGCTGATCCAGCTCTCATATCTGACGCCAGTATACAGAAGAAAAACAATTTTGGGCTTGCACTGTGATTATAAAAAGACTTAGCAACGCTGGAGCTTGAGGAGTTTAAACAGTCTACAGGCATCGAGTGAAAAATGAGATGCGCTGAGTCCCAAATTCTAGTTTTTGGTATTTTTCATTGTGCCTCACATTTTCACGTTCAATTGACTGACTAAATACTGTTTACAGATAAGCTGACTAAATAAATGTCTTATTATTTATTACCCATAAATACCCTATTATATGGAATCTATTACAACTAGGTAATTATTTTTATGTTTTTTAAAACTTAAAACTAGCATGTTTGCTTAAAATCCATCGATCTTAGCAACAACTTTAAATCCGATCGTTTGTGTTAGCCTACAGCAGAGTATGCTTATAAAACTTGGAGACAAGTTTATTTTGTAATTTCTGTTAATGTTCATAATAAGGCATTTCTCTTTAAGAAAGTTAGACGCCTTCGTGTCCTTTACCATGGTTGGGAAATGTAAGTGTGCATAATAGATAAAGTTTTGATGGGTATATTAGCATGTTTAGTATCAACGTTTTAAGGCATTTCACTTCTTTGGCGTATATTTAGAGCCCAAGAACACCTGGGTTAATAGTAGCGATTATACTAAAAACTTATGATCAAATGAATTATTCATTCATGGTTTCAACCGTCTCTGTGATTTTAGTTTTGTTTGGTTTATTTAATTATGGCAAAGCACACCAGGGCTATCTGCCTAAGGGAAGGAATGCCTTCGTGGAGGACTTTCTAAGGGAAACTGACTCGTATACACGTTACACATGGGGAAAACAACGAAAACGCCCATGCAGCCAGCCCGTTCGCAGAATTCGAACCTCGGACCGAATTACCAGTGTTTAGCGACTTTACCGCTCGGCCGCTGGTGGGCCCAACCGTATCTGTGATTTACAGTATTGTGTATACTAGATTACATGTTGTACAGCATCAGTTATATCTAGCTTACAATTTCCTTAAAGTTTCATATTAGCGAAATGTATATTATAAAAAACAGAAATGTGAAATTGTTAGAGTGTGTTATGTAGACCTCAGCTGACTTCTATTCGATTTTGTAACTGCTAAAATAACAGCAGTGTGACTTGGAGAAACTTAGTGGAATGCAAATACATTTACTGCCACGCTTTTAATGGAATCTACTGCGTCAAATGGCTTCATGTATCTTCTTTACTAGTGGATGTATCCAAAACTGACGAATCGCTGTGTGAAAATGTATTTAGTGAATCAAATTGGTGTATAGTCTTCTAAAGATACCTCTTTCTGTAGTCTTCTAAGATACCTCTTTCTGTGGGGCAAATAACGAATATATTTTAATACACACTTGTTTACACTAAACTTAGCTTGCGGTCTCTGCTTGTTTCTTTATCAGAACTGATATCACGATGGTAAACTACTTAAGAGAAGAGAATTGCTTTTTGGAAAACTTTGAAGGAGAATCTCTAACATCCACAGTAACTTTTGTTGGTCTGTCGGCAGTTTTTATTAGAATGCATTCGTGGACTTGACGTACTTGATCTTAGCCTCAGAGGCCGAGAGGTTTTTCGTTTTTTATAGGCCAAACGTTTTGTTAAAGAGCTCAATTAGATGTTACCTTTCAAGCATTCTAAGCCCATCAACGGCTGAACGATAAAATTGTACTTCGAAAGGATTTTTAAATTTTGGCGAAAGGGCCGATAACATGAGAATTTTCACAATTTTTCATTAGCGAATATGAATCGATTTCCTTTAAAATGTCTTTTACGAAAGAATTCATCCCTTTAGGCGAATAGCTGTCTTGCACTTTGCTGTATTAAAGTAACCTAAATCAATCCTCCAGGCATTTTATAAACTAGTTCAAGCAAGCTGCTTTTTATAATTTAGACAATCGTGTCGTTATGAAGAGTGATGCTCTTGTGATCTTGTTCTAAAGCACAGGATGCACTACATTACTTATTTGCACCACATAACTATCTCATTTGCATTAATAATTATCTAAATTGTATACCTCTATCCTGTTTCTGCTCCAATCACTTCTGTAGTGTTCATTCAAATCAAGTAATTTTCGTTGATTTTTCTGGAGAGCAGAATTCCTCTTTCATTATAAAAATTTTTCAAGGAGCAAAAGTCATCATGCTTTCAAATTTCCGCTTTTACCATTACACTCCGTAAAATCTATATTCAAATACTCGGTTGCATCGAATTTAAATCTTTTTCAAAAGACGCCAAAACCTTTTAACCGTTAATCTTCTCTGAAATGAACGGATAAAATTTTGTCCGTTTTATTTCCAAGTATGCTCTAGTTATGCATCAAATGAAAGCAAATTTCTATAGGACTCCTCATGCAATCAATGAAAGCTTAAATTGAAAGATGGATTTCTATTAAATGGATGAAAGTTTATATAAAATGCACCGTGCTGATAAAAGCTTCTGTAAATTTCCCCATACAAACTTCGAGTTTTATGCAGCAATTAAAAAACACACAATATGAGACAAAATTTTCTCTTAATTTAAAAAACGCGATTATAACTCTGATCCCTTTTGTCCAAAATACAACAGTCAACAGCTTTACCCTACTACTAACTAAATATTTAGGCATACCTCGTTTACATTAGTCTTTTCTAAACCCTTAATGTAATTGTAAACCCTTAATCTAAACCCTTAATCTCATTGGAGTGTCGTTCAAATTTAAAGCTACATTAAAGTTTTTATTTTTAAAATAAATATTAGGATACTCTTTACATTTTAGGATATTCTAAACATTTTCAGACAGTCCATTTGAGCTAATCTTTAAATTTCAGGCTTTGTAATCCTCACTCTTTTGAAAAATTGCTTGGCCAAAAGCTTTATATCCTAACGAATATAATCAATCTTAAGCAATGTGTAAAACCTTTCAGTTCTAGTTAATTCTCCCTTAATTTTACAGTACCTATTAATATACGTATGTAAGAAAGTTCATTTTTGCTTATGTATTTTTATAATTTATACTTTTGTCTTCTAGGACTGCTCTAGGAGGTATTCAACAAATGATGTATATTCTAGTGCAGCTGAAAATGGGGTGAAAAGAAGAGCATCCATTTCATCTCTGAATCCAAGTAAGAACTACAAATACTTTGATTCATGGCTTTGTTATGATTAAAGTGAACGTTTCAAGTGCATCAAAGTTTTATTTTGATCAAAGTGAATAATACAATTCAATATCCTTTTCTTCCATGTTTGCTTCCGTTCCTGCGATTGGTTCTCATAAACTTTATTATGATTAACCTTTTCATTTGGTCTTAGTTTCAGTTATCCATTTCTGTTACTAAATTCAGTTACATAATAATTGTTAATTTGGTTCACATTTTCTAATCTGTTTTTTTTTTCAGAAAAAATTCGTGCGGGCTCAAAATGTGGGGATTCTGTGAGTATCATTAAAGCATTTTCTGTTGGTGATAATTTATGAAAATGAGCTTAATATTAAATATTGTTCGATTAAATTTGCATCATATATCTGGCATTCTATAAAATACCTTAAATATAGGTACCTTACCAAAAATCAGTGCTTTTAAACGGTCGAGTTTTAATGAAATATGAAAAAAATAAATAAGTGCAAATTTCTACTTTAAAGAAATTTGCCTTTATATTAATTTTCGCAAATTCATATGGAGGATAAAAACACCTGTCTTGAAAGAATACTTATTAGAAGAGATTAATATTTCTTGCCAGGATAAGTTCCTAGTAGAAGCTTCATTTTCACTTAATCGTAACTAGGAACAAGAAACACGTCAACGTAAACTTCAAAAACTATTCTACCGTCAGAATTCTTTGTTCCTCAAGAAGAGGGATTAGTGTCTTATAGCCTATAAAATCGATGGTTTGGGTTCGAAATCCCCGCCATAAGGAGGTTTTTGTCTCGCCTAATTTTGAACTTGAAAGAATCCCGGGGAGGACACGCCGCCAAACTTGTCGATTAATTAAATTTAAAGCCAACAAGTTCTCAATACCCTATGGTATGTTCCTTAAAATGCATACGCCTTTTTTTTAAATTACTTACAATCTTAAGATTTAATTTTCGGTTAACACCTAAAATTTCGAATTACATTTTACTGAAAAATTATTGTAAGCTTTAGTTATGTTGAACTTTTAATGGTATTATAATGTATTATACAGTGCATCTCATTTGTGACTACAATTAAATGGATACCGAAAGCTGCCTAAATTAAAATTAAAAATCACTTTTTCTAAACACAACTTCATTTAGCAAGGAACGGCATCGAAATACCGAGTACAATTCAACCTGATCTTGAATAGATACAGCATGTTTAGTTCTTACTTTTTAGAGCATGTAATCTAAAAGTGTATGTGTTCCTTGAAGGTCTACTGTTCAATAAATTTGTAAAACTTTTAACAGGTTAATGTCCAAAGGCAATCTTTGAGTAAACTGGTGAGCAGCCAAGCCGGTTCTCAATCTGTGCTTAAATCCACAAGCTCTACAATTCCCAAGAATTATCTAATAAGAAATGCTCGTAAACCTTCCCCTTTAGCAGATATAGGAAACGAAAAAAAACAATCTCGTCTTACGTACAAAATTTCTAAACTAATAGACAAGAAGAAATCTTTGCAGCCTTCCAACACGTATATGTTGGTAGAAAACCTGCCGAGTTGTAATGATAAAGAGCCAGAGAAACCGAGAAATGGTTTAGAAATCCCTAATAATGCAACTGACCAAGGGTATCAAAGTGAAGAAACTCGATCAATTTCTCCTGGTAAAGCACCCGATGCTACAGATGCCGTTTTTTCTAATGTTTCTCCAACAACTGAAGATTCATCTAAAACCTGTGATCCGGTGATCCAAAGTTCTGAAGGGAATGATGGCGCTTTTGTTCACGTTACCGGTAATAAAGTTACAGAAGAGACAACTGCGAGTAAAATTGATATTAAGAGTGATCATACTCTGTGCCACCATTCTTCTCGATGCCATCAATGCGTCCTTGGCATGCTGTGGAAAAATAGGATCCGAAGAAACGATGGCATATATGTAGATGCTGATGAACGCTCAAGTTTGAGAAATAAGTTGCGGTCCGTGTTCAAAGGTGAACTTTTCAATACTGTGTATCAAGCATTAATTTTAAATTGGGAAGGTAATGAACTGGAGTTTTTAAGAGTTTCATCTGAAAGTCTTTTAAATTCTCTTAACTATGATCAAACACAGCACCTGCCACTTATGATGCAACTAATACAGTTGGATTTGCTCAAGAAATCTAATTCAGTATGTACTTAATATCTAATCTTGGACACAACTTAAGAAAGAGTATTTTAGAAACCCTTCCTGGCTTTACGTATACTTTGGACTCTTAGATTTCATGCGAAGATTGTATACAAATTATTCATTTTACATATTTATTGATTGGTTGATTGTATAAATTTGTAATTATTTTAAGATGTATTTAAATTTTCTTTCAATATGTATGTGTGCTTTTCAGTAACACGAAACTCACATTATTCTGTAAACTAATAAAATCATAATTTAATAAATGTGATTTGGAGTTTATTTTACCTCCCTGAGATTCGTGAAGTCTAAGGAATATGGGAGAGGTTTTCTGTACGTGTAAAGATAAAATCCGTATTCCTTTGGTATGTTCCACAATGGAAGTATGCTCACTCTAACTGAACGAAAGTCTATATAAAATAATAAAACTTTCAGTAAAGTTAATACACGTATTCTTATTCAATACATAAGTTGCATTCAGAATTTTCCCCTATAAAGAAAAATACTCTTCATAAAGAATTCATTGGCAAATAACTCCATGTGAAGTCAGACTTACCAGTTATTGTAATTAGATCTTATGCAAAGTGGATATGCTTTTAACACTCCGAAAGTAGGATCCGTAAAAAAACGTAACGACCTTTTATTCTGAATATACGCGGGGATTGTTCTTATCGCGTCGGCAAAAGCTGAGATTTCAAATGCTATCAGTTTCGTAGGAAGAAAGGGTATGAATTTTTCTCCCTTTTCTTTTGGAATTTTGTACCCACGGTCAGAGGGTTAAATGCACAGAATTCAAACTAGTGTACAGATTGAATGCAATTTAATCAGACACTCTTTCGTAGTTGAGAAAATTTCGGTAAAAGTCATTGTGACTTGTAGAAAACCTGATTTATAACGGAATAGAAAGAAACTTAAGACTTTCAATAATATTCTCATCGGACTGCAATGAAATCTTGACTTGTTAGCGAAATTCGAGGTAAAAAATGAGTAGTTAAGGAAAAGGTTAATGCTTGCTTTTGTTGGGTAATTCTTTTATAACTTTCAGCAACTTATAAAGTCCTACAAAAATATCAAATTTTCGTATAATTCTAAGTTTTATTTTTAATGTAGGAATATTTAATCGGATAAAATATACAGAAAGCTGAAATTACGAGTAATTTTATAGTGTGTGTGTGTGTGTGTGATTATAGCACAGCCTCGAGGGCTATCTGCCTAAGGGGAGGGATGCCTTCGTGGAGGACTTTCTAAGGGAACTGGCTCGTATACACGTTACACATGGGGAAAACCACGAAAACGCCCATGCAGCCAGCCCGTTCGCGGGATTCGAACCTCGGACCGAACTACCAGTGTTCAGCGACTTTACCGCTCGGCCGCTGGTGAGCCCGAGTAATTTTATAATTTATATGCAAAACCACAAATCACGTAAACGAATGCAATCAGAACGGCAATATGTTTCACCAGGAAGAAAGAGTGTTAGGACTTTTTCACTCGCAATAACGGATTACTTGTATTTCAAATTTGATATAATGGAAAGATTACAGTTCTATTCTCTCCTCCAGTAAGTGAAGGAAGCCGCTGAATAATGATATCTTCTTCAAATTTTAATTGGAAAGAGTATGCATACAGTAGCATACTGTACTGCACATGTGCAACGTAAATGAAACTATGCCTTTCTTAGCAAATGGCTTAATTCATCACTCCCGCCTCCAAGCAAGTACGCTTTATAATTGTATGAATTCATAAAACATGCTTATTAACCATAAAGCTTATGCCACACTTAAAAGTAAATGAAATTTCTCAGCAACAAAAGACGTTGTGCGCAGCCGTAAGCCAACAATGTCCAGCGTCGAGGTGCTTGCGTAATAAGAGTTCATACATAATTGAAGGTGAGATGCTTCATTTCAGAAACCTGCATACGAAAATTCTCTCAAGACAGAAGGAATGCGTATGAGCCACCTGGGTCCCCCGCAGTACGGAAGGAGTGACCTTAAACTTGAAATACTATCGCATGATCTTCCTCGGGCCCACCAGCGGCTGAAAGGTAAAATCGCTGAACACTGGTAGTTCTGATCTGGGTTTGATTCCAGGCAAACGGGCTGACCTACATGTGCATTTTTGTGGCTTTCCTCGTGTGTATCATGTATACGAGCCAGTTCCCCTTAGAAATTCCTTCCCTAAGGCTTCGAGTGCTTTGCCATAATTAAATAAACCAAGCCTTTGCATTTATCTCAAAGCAAATCTAAATATCTCAATATCAAAAAACTAATAAAACCAACCATCAGTTTTCATACAGTATACAATTGCATCTTTCATGCATAGTTGCGTATTTTAAACTTGTTTACGAACTTGATTGGATTGATCAGTTACGTCACAGTCATGCAAAAAGCACAAGAAAATTTTCTAAAGAAAATTAAACCATAAACATGAGGGAAAACTACAAAAATTCCATGCATTTTGCTTGCTTTGTCATCGGCAATCGGACCAGTGAGGAGCTATTGGTGTTCTAAAGATTTAGCAATTTTTTTTTTTTTTTTTTTTTTTTTTTTTTTTTTTTTTTTTTTTTAAGACTAGTGGGTTCGTAAGTCTGCTTTGCGTATCTCTTTATCAGACTTGTTGTAGCCCGAGGGAACTGTCATCAAAATATGTTAGGGCAAATTTTAATAAACAAAAAGTCTTAGGGCTGTTTTTATTGACCATTGCCTTTTAACACGATAAGTCGTTTATTGAAGCAACCCAGAGTTAAGGCATGTCTAATAAAAGGTGAGTCATTTAACGCTAATTGAATTAATTTCCTCCGTTATGCAGATTTTAATATTTTCTCTTGCACAGCATCATTTGGCTTGTTATTCTAAATTTCCTTAAAGCTGCGGAAGATAGGTTTATTTGATTATAGCAAAGCACTCGAAGGCTATCTTGCTAACTGAAGGGATGCCTTGGTAGACGAATTTTTAAGGGAAACATGTTATACATTGGGAAAACCACGAAAGCTCCCATGCAGCCAGCCCGTTCATCGGTATTCTGACCCTGGCCGAACTACCAGTGCTCAGAGTCTTTACCGCTCGGTACCTGGTGGCCCTTGAATGCCAAAGAAGATATGGATAATTTGGTCGTTTATGGTAATACATATAAAGGCTACCTGTCCAATGGAAGGCATGTTTTCGACGAGGATTTTCTGAGGGAAACTGGTGTTCGTATTCATGTTACATAAGGAGAAATCAGGATAACACCCATGCAATTTCATGCGCGATTTACATTTTCATTTTTATTATAAATCGATGTCTTTTTAACAGACTTTTCAATGACAGTCCCTTGCTGAAAAGGATTTGGGCCGACGAGATCGCTTGCAGTTTTTCACTTTCCCCATTTTATTTGTCCTCTGAATTACGCAGAACACAGCTGATACGTTTAAATGTAAATTTCTAGATATTTGCCGATAGGTGAAACTATTTTTTCTTAAACTGACTATTTTATCACGATCTTGTAAAGAATATTCTTTGTTTCTTTCCAGATATTGTGTAAATCATCAAATTTTTAATAAATGTGCAAAATAAAATGTACAAATCGCCTTTCTTGCATCTTTCACACGTTTTCAAATTCTAGAGAGTGTTTATCACTGCGTATTCAGTGACTTTTTCCCTCTCATCAGATTTTTCTTTATCTTTATTATTCTAACAGATATCTCCGTGGATTTGTTTCATTTCTAATTGAAGTGCTGTTTGCTTCCACAACAAAATTTATTTTTGACTTAACCTATTAACAATAAAACTAGTGCTTAAACAAATTCTATTCAAATGCTTTTTTATTCACTTTAAAGAACCATGATCCAATTCAGATAACTTTCGTAGTCGTAGGAAGCTTAAAATAAAATGAACTATCGCCGTTTATTGATCTTAATGTATGATGATGATTGATGATGTAATTTTCGCGTTAAAAAAATGTACATTTTCCAGAAATAAGTCAAAAATAAAAATTTTGCATTTATTTGGGAGAAAAAATAGATGCAAACCATTATTTCTCAACCTTATGTGACGAAATAACACGAACCATATTTGAGAACTACCGTTGTTGTCTCAGTAGTACTGTTCTAGTCCCTTCCTAGAATCTTCCGCTACCCGTAACTACGATGTTATTCATCAAAATATCTGTCAGCATACATGCTATGTGGCCCACCAGCGGCCGAGTAGTAAAAGCCGCTGAACACTGGTAGTTCGGTCCGGGGTTCCAGTCTTGGCGAATGGGCCGCCTGCATGGGTGTTTTGTGGTTTTCCCCATGTGTAATGTGGATACGAGTCAGTTTCCCTTAGAAAAACCTCCCCGGGACATTCCTGCCTTTCCGTGTAGTGCCTGAGGAACACATAAAAAGTTAAAAAACATCCATGCTATTAACGAACTAAGAATATGATAAATTACTGTTTTTGTTAAGTTGGAATATTATTCATGTGTCTGTAGGACATCAAAGTGAGTGACTGATCTTTATAAGAAATTGTCTATTAAAATTAACCTTACGCATGAAATGGGCTCCTGTTTCGAAAAGCCTTTAAAAAAGGACGTTTTAGAGAAACTGTCTAACAATAAATTTGCTTTCAGATTTTACGTAGGAATGTTTTCATCTACAGATGGTCAGAGTAATTTGCAAAAGGGCTTAAAGGATCCATAATTTGGATAGCATGTGTAGAATTAATTTATTTCTACACCTGATGTTGCTGTGATCAATATTATTTTGTCCTCCTATTTAACTTCTTCCGCTACCGTTTTCTTTCTCCTCTACACTGTCGACACACATTCTGAAAGCAAATCTCTTATCCTTAGAATAATCACTAGATTGGCACTCAAGAAAATACTTTAAATTATCTGAACTTCACAAGGTTTTAGCGAATGCATAGTTTGGTCGTCCTAAATTCTGAATCAATTCGCTGATTTTTGGACAAAATTGCAGGAACGAAAGCTATTTGAACTCGTATTTTACGAGATAGAATTTCATTTTCAAAACACTCCTTTAAGAAACTGATACATGGGTTGTGATACCCATATTATTATTGAGAAAAGCAATAGTACGCTCCATATATTCACTCATATAAACGACAATTCGAAATAAGAAATTAATCTGATTATCGTAGGTACAGGATAAAGTTTTGCTACCAGGTCGAACGACCTTTTCTTATAGGTATACTGCGCAAAAAAGAAGACAGTTCGATATCTCCTGTTCTACCACTATCGGATAAATTCAACTTGCGTTTTTCATGTCTCGAAAGCGCGACTT